CGTGCTATTTGGTACTCACCAGTCAGCAAGACGTATCTGCAATCCTGAAGGAACTCATGTCCCTTTTCAGGTTCGAACCCGTGTCACCCAGTGCTGCAATAAGAGACGTCACCACTGAGCTATTTCGTCTCGCAATTAACCTCCTGTAGGACTGTATTCGATATTTTGATTGGAAATTGAACATGAATAGCTCAGTGGTGGCGTCTCGTATTGTAGCACTGAGTGACACGGGTTCGAATCTGAGAGGGAATATCAGTTCCTTCCAGGTTGAAGATACACCTTGCCGACTGGTGAGTGACAACTATCACGAAACCTAGGTCTAAGGCTTCCTGCAAATTGCCTCCTCATTTATAATCTTCTAGTAAATTATTATTTCCAGTTGTTCCTAGAGGAACATAGGGCCTCAGCAGCACGTCTCCAACGAGTTCGGTTCTCTGCCAACGTTTTCACCTGGCTCCTCTAGTAAATATTCATCAACAATATATCGTATCACGCAACGTCGTTCTGTCTGAAACAAGACTCACACCTCTATGACATTTCCTTCAATTTCTTCATGAAATACACATAAGTAGGTTAGCAGCCAATTAAAAATTTGCGTCAGATGAAGTTGCAAACCAAAGAACATATTTGAAAGATTGAAACAACAAGGAAGAGAAAAAAGTAGATGCAGTTTCTCTGGTGGTTTTGTGGTGAGATCTGTTTGCTAGCCGAAATTGTAGACACCAATTTACGTCAATGTTTACGTACCGAATCGGGTTCACGAGATAAAACAATAGCAAAGCCTAACCCTGAGGAACTCAACAACCAATCACAGCAGACTTTGCATGTGCAAATACGATTCGCAGATAAATGGTCTCACCTTCAAAAAAACGGCCACAAGAGATAACAGAATAACTTTCAGTGAGGAAACAACCAACCAGAAGATGCTGTTTCTCTACTAATAATAACGAATAGTAATGTACTTAAAAATCTATAAATATCTGTTGATTTTCTCAGTAAACGATCTGTTGCATGGCCTTTGCCTTTTGTCGTTATAGTTTAAATAGGCCGCCTAGGTTATCTCTTATCTACAGCATCTACCTTTTTTTAATTTGAGGTATAAAAATTCCCATTTTAGGTAATTAAGAACAAGTAAGTCGGAAAAGAGATCTCTTTTCTTGGTAACTGCAATTCAAAGCTGTACAATTACTTAAGGGGGAAGGGTTATATATACAGTGTACGCCTACCAGCATGGTTGTCCAATAGCAAAACGCAGGACGGTCGAGGGCTGAATGCTGGAGAACATCATTACTTCGGATCATGCAGCATCAGCACAGACTTCTTTCAGAGCACTATCAAGCCATTCGAAAGAATTTCGCCTACATCTTCCTCATGCAGCCGAAATTTTAAAAAACCACGAAGAAACACAAGAATTTTGCATTCAAAGACGTTTTATCCAGCTCTCTTAACTACCATGGCCTTAATGTCAATTTTTGTTATGCTGAATAGGTGTACAATAAACTCTTTATAGACCTTTGCATTTTTCAGTTCCATTGATATTTTCAACCCATTCTCAATTCTGTGTCCTCTTGTTTCTTATCAATCAATTCCAAATGATTAGTCGCCACTTAACTGATTAGTTGTCAACCACACCCATCGATTACGTAGGATTATCCACGATTTTCTAAACATTGTCATTACTCATACACTTTGATTTATTTCTTTGCTAACTGACATTAACCACTTACCTCCGTTGTTGATTAATATTGTGTAGATAACCCCCTAAGTAACTAACTGTACAGTGAGGTTACGAAACAAGAGATCTCTGCTGACTCAAATGTTCTTTTCTTTTATTACTAATAATCCACAACGGGAAACTTACGGAATCCTTCGAAGTGAGGACAGGAGTAAGACAAGGCTAGCTGCCTACTATCGCCAATGATTTTCCTGATTGCAGTAGACTGGATAATGCGACAAACAGCGGGCAATGAGGAAACAGGCATAAAATGGACTCACACAAAAAAGAGACTTGGAGGATCTGGACTTCGCCGATGATGACATATGTCTGATTTCCCACAAACTGGAAGATATGCAAATGAAAAGCAACAAGTTGGCAATATACGAACCATCAAAGATAGGACTTCAGGTGAACATAGAGAAAACAGAGGTGATGAAGATTCCTGGCCAACACCAACAGCAGCAAAAACAACAGACAACAATCAGCATAAATGAGAGGAATCTGAAAGAAACAACCTCTTTTACCTACCTGGGAAGCATCGTTTCAACTACAGGCGGAACTGACGAGGATATCAAAGGAGCGAGGATCCGAAAAGAAAGACAAGCTTTCACTACTCTCAAGTCTGTGTGGAGGTCAACAACACTCAGAATCAAAAATAAGATCCGGATTTTCGACTCCAATGTGAAGTCAGTGCTACTCACTATACGGATCAGAGACTTGCACTGTGCGTCATAAAGAGCATCTCAAACAAACTACAGACCTTCATTAACAGCTGTCTTCGCTCAGTAATCAAGATCAGATGGCTGGTCAGAAAAGATCAGCAACAGGGATCTCTGGGAGCGAACCAACCAGGAACCGATTGTGAAACAAATAGGCAGGAAGAAATGGAGATGGATTGGCCATACTCTGAGGAAACCATCAAGTGACATCACTAGACAAGCCATTGCTCGAGTGGAACCTGAAAGGGAAGCGGCGAGTTGGTCGTCAGTGTGAGTGTGACTTGGAGGAGGTCATGTGAAGAGGAGATGAAAACGTGTGGGCAGACTTGGAGCCAGGTGAAGACTCTAGCAGCGAACCGAACGCAATGGAGACACGCGGCTGAAGCCCTATGTTCCTCTAGGAATTAAAAGAAACAATAATAATGTAATAATAATTCTGATACTCAATGGCGTGTGTTTGTTTGAAAATGAATTGAAAATTCCTATACTGTCAGACTTACAATCACCACCTATGAACTCCATGAAACACATTCCTCTAAGTTGCTGAAAATTAATCTCCAGTCAACAACATACAGCAAAACTACTAACTACAATATCCCAGATTATTGTTTCAGTAGTACGATTGGATTGGTTTTTCGGGGTATGGTGACTAGCCCCATGCCCAACCCCTCCTCTTTCCCGGGGCTTAAGACTGGCGAGCCATTAAACTAGGCGAGATCTGGATTTCGCGCATGGATGATTTATGACCAGTGTCACAAAAAGCGTAGAGTTACAGGTGATAACCGATAAACTGGAAGAGACTGACAGCAAAGACAGAGAAGATGAGAGACGATAAAAATAGCCAACTGACAACAACAACAACCAATCACACTATCAACGGAAGAAATTTGAAAGATGGCACTTCTTTCACTTATTTAGGCAGCATTGTTTCAACTACAGGCGACAGCAAGGATAACGATAGCAATTTAATTAAATTTTAGATTTTTCCATCGATTAATTGGACCGAAGTGCTCTGTCTCCGGTTATCATGTCGGCTTCTTGTGCAGATGCTTTGACGATATCTGGGCATCTAATCAGAAGTTAACTGGTGGATGGTGACTAGCAGTGGAATCGAGAATGCGTATTTCATCCTATTTGGGACTTGTCACCTGGATGTACCTGCATTTCCCAGTGAGTGGTATTCCCACCGAGGCTCGAACCCAGTACCCATACGACGAAATGCGCATCCTCGCTTACACTGCGATTCACCATCCACCTAAAACTTCTCATTACATGCCCAAACATCGTCGAAGCATCTCCACAAGGAGCCGACATGTCAACCCGAGACCGAGCACTTCGGTCCAATCAATCGACGGGAAAATCTAAAATTGAATTAAATAATTTATATGACCCTTTGCACAAGAGGCAGTGGCTCTCGTGGCCCAAATGGTCTAGTGGATAACGCTCTGCCGTTTGAAACTATAGGCACTGGGTTCGAGCCTCGGTGGGAAAATCATCACTCACTGAGGAATGCAGATACGTCCAGCTGACGAGTCATAAATAGGACGAAATGCGCACCCTGGATTCCACTGCTAGTCACCATCTACCATATAACGATATCGAAACTAGAATCAGAAAGGTGAAACAGAACTTCATCGTTCTGATATCTGTTTAGAAATCCACTGCTGAACACAACAAAAGGAACAAAATTAGGATTTTCAACACAAATTTTAAGTCAGTCGGTTAGAGACTTACACTGAGCATCACAATAAGCATTTGCAACAGGCTGCTTCAACACAGCTACCTTCGGCCAGAAAGAATCATCGACAAAGAACTCTGGGGACGAACTAGTCAAGAAGCCATTGCTCAACAAATATATCAAAGTAAGAGGAAATGGATCGGACACACGCTGAGAAGACCGTTGGGTCCGAACGGGGAACGACGAGTTGGGTGCTGGTCCGAGGATTACATGGGGGCGACCGTAAGAAGAGTTGAGAGGATATGGGCAAACATGGACCCACTTAAAGAGGACCTCAGTGGACAGGACAAATGTAGATGTGCTATTGAGGCCCTATGTTCCACTCGGAACCCAAAGAAACAAAACTAATATAACAGCACACATATTTTGCTTATTACAAGAAAACGAATTCTTAAGACGGAGCGATACCTGACTGTACTAGAATTTAGGACTATTTCCACTGAATGGAATATGTTATGATATAGTGCTACAGACTTGTAGGGTCATCTAACGTGTTTACAATGTGCTTCTCCAGGATCACTTGAAAACATCTCTCACGACGACTGACTACAACAACGCAGCAACAACGTTTATCAGATATGATATCTTATATTTAGAAAAAATACCTCAGGAACTTAAGCCATAAATAAACGAATCAAGACCTGTCCAATCAGATTATCATGCCAGTGCATACATAAATCATAACTCCATGGCCGACAAAGATGGTTATCCATCCTAACACCTCCCAACTCAATACAATTTGTAGGTCTGTGAACTCTCCGTCTATGATGATTCCAATACATACTCGAAAGGTTGATGAAATAGATTGTGATAGGAAAAGACATAATTATCCATTGATAGGCATTTTATTTATCAAAATTCGTCAACTTATATTAATAGTAATAATAAGTTAATGTGTGCGTGTGTAAAAGAATTATTCGCCCCTCTGATATATTATACACAAATACTTAGGCGGCGTGTAATAGTAAATTTATATATGTTACATATATAAGCAATGAAAAGGTGTACAGGAGGGGGACATAAATCAGGCAAACTCTTCCTCACATCCACACACACACACACATGAAATTTGAAAAAATATCGTTAAATTACCAATGACAAAGCAAAATAGTTCTTTTTTCTATATACAAAAACTGTTGCTTTGAAAAAAACAGCCAGTTTTCATAAATCTATTGATTTATTACGTCACACACTCAGTCAAGAAGCAAGCATCAATTGTGCATAGAGCATAAGATGGTTACAGGTCATACGCAGGCGTGAACACTACACACCCATCCAAAACATACATTGAAATAGCAAAGAAAATAAACGAAAAAAACAATCAATCCAATCAACAACAACAAAAGATACAAACCAAGTTGATTATTGTTCACATGTTGTTGTGTTTTGTTGTGTTTCATCGTGAACGTTTCATTAATCGTTTTAAATGTTCTCTTAGTGCAACTTGTTTCTCTTGGAAACTACGTTTTACTTTACGGCGAACTTTGTGCTTGATCATTTGGAAAGCTTTATTCTTTGATTTTTCACGATTTGTTGTACTTGCATGAGCATTCATACGATTCACCTTGAGGATGCAAAAAAAACAAAGCGGGAGTAGGAGGGGTGCACATAAAAATAAAGACTTAATTATACGCTTTATGAATTTATATTTATTTTTTTATTTTTGATTAAAGCTTGATTCCACACCGTATTTTTGATACAAGTATGGAATTTTCAGCATGGATATCGGTAGCCCGAATTTTGCAGGCCGACCATAGATATCGGGTGTGCGTCAGCAGGGGTTACAACCGTGGGAGGGTTGCATGATACCGTTACACTACCGGCGCAAATGAATAGATAACAATAAGAAAATCACTGTGAAGAACTAAGCAGCCCTTCATAGCTGTGTCGTCTTAGTTTTCGACTGACTGAAATGTCAAATTGTGAATTTCACTTGCAGTCGTAAAGGTGATTTTACATGAATTGATTCGTTCCAATGATTCCTTATATCATAAAAGGCACTGAAAATGAAACTAAGTAGGAATATTAAATACCGTGGATAATGTCTGTAAGGCACTAGTGATTTAAAAGTTCAAGCCCAGACTATGTATCCAAAAGAAATGCGTCTAAGCTCTGTCTCCACTGTGACCATTATATAAAGAGTCAATTCCCTTAATACTCCTCTCCCCTTGCATCTCATCAGGCAAAACCAGAAGCCTATATAGAAAACTATATGCTCGCACCAGCAAGTACAAAAACTCAACCATACCCTACTTAGCTCGTGTTCTGTGTGATAAAGAAAGCATTAGGCGTGACACTTATAATTCATTAAATAGTCAGTAGTAGAACTGGACCTCGTCTTTCCAGCTCAAATCATTAGTAGGTACAAAATTTTCTTTCTTTTCCTTTTCCCTCTCTCTCTTTTTCCGTTATGTGCAGCTTTGTTTCTTTCTTCCGCTTACGCCAGTAAATATGATAGCACCTACTTTTCTAACACCTTCAAACACTGATCAACTTTGGCTTTGCTACCGACATGCCAATATGTTGTTGTCATAATGAACTGAGATTTCCTTAATCTATGTAGAATTCTATTTATTGATAATGTACTAACTGGATGCAATACTGTAGTAAAAAAAATGCTGAGAATTCCATTCTGTATCACAAGTACTGTTTTGGAATAAAGCAAATTATTATTATTATTATTATTATTAATACTGATTATCCTATTACACTTTTCTTCCTGGTTAATTCTCTTATACTTACATTTTCTGAATCGCTATTTGCACTACTATGTTGTTGCTTTTTTTATCGGAAATCGTGTTTATTTCGTTATTATTACATTTTAAAAGCTATTCGCAATCTTATTCACTCAACCCTTTACTGGAAATATTTCAGGAACATTCCCACACATTAACAATCAATACACCAATGTACAACCTCGTTGATGAATTCGTTGAAAACAAAAATTTTCTTCATGAAGCCGGTCCCTTTTATCAACATGAATGAAGAAAGAATGAACATATTTGCAGGACAATACGAGCTCGTTTTATTACGTGGATTCTCTTCAACTGTGCACATCCTAAATAATAAGTCAATTATATGTTACAAAATGCTGTCTGAACACACTTTCTTTTCTTACAATGATTTCAAGCTATAGATAGAAAGTATAGGCAACATAATTTTAAAGATGATGTAAGTAGACAATTATTTCGTATTAAAAGAGTAACTATTTATATAGTAATTAGACAAAATGGGGGTGGTGAAATTCAGATTTCTCTTGGAAACAAGGATGGACTAGAGACAGCACCAAAGTGCTCCCAAGCGCAATCGCCAGACACCTAATCGATACAGGACATACAGTGGAAATCGGTCAGGCTTTCAAAATAATAATCAATACACAAAGGAAAGCATGGTTGCTTCGGTCCGTAGAAGCCATTGCCATCAAAAGACTTCAACCCAACCTATGCATACAGAAAGAGAGTGTGACTAACCCCTAACTACTCTAGTCCTAACCTAACCAGCAACTACTCGTGACCATAATTGTTTTGTTTGTGTGCTTTTGTGTTTTGTTCTGTTGCATAAAATCCCTCTCAATCTTGATTTTGATTTTCACTCACTGAATTGAACTCATTACTAAGGTTCCAAACCTACTAAATTAGATTATTTTACTTAGTTTTATAATTCTACTTCACTATTCATCCCCACTCTCCTGAGCTCTTTCTCCATGATGATATGTATAAATTAACTCTCTTCTTCTATCTTGTATTTTTGTCTCTAGTCCATCGTTGTTTCCAAGACAAATCTGAATTCCAGTCCCCCCCTTTTGTTTAATTACTATATAAATAGTAACTCTTTTAACACGAAATAATTGTCTACTTACATCATCTTTGAAATTATCTGTAGCTTGAAACCTTTGTAGAAAGTATGTTCAGGTAGCATTTTGTAAAATATAATTGATTTTGTTGCTTAGTATGTACTCAGTTGAAGACAATCCACGAAATAAATCGAGTTCGTATTTTTTCTGCAAAGATGTTTATTCTTTCTTTACTCAAAAAAAATTTTTTCTTTGCTGCAACCATCAATTTAATACTTCCTATGATCCAATACATATATATATATATTCCGTGACTTAGATTACGTCTTTCTTCTGATCAATTTCTGGCCTTCTCAAATCATGTACTACTACTGGTTGACGTGTCAGTGTTGAATGCAACTACTCACCTGAATCATCTAGTAGTATATAATTTTATTTAGAAAAAATATTTCATCTAATCTTCTATACATAAAGAAGTTAAGAAAATCACGTTTTACTCTGTCTCGACTTTTACAGTTTATTAACTCTTAAATTCTACCTTTTTCTCCTCTATTTCTCATCTCTATTCTTCCCCGGAATACTTAAAAAAGACTTTGTTGAATAGTGAGTGGCGAATGATCCGCCTTTAAGGCAACTGTTTAGTCTTATGTTAGACAGACACTTGAAATCATCATGGAAATCTGAGCATCGTCTTTATCCAAGGCATCACGTACGTCTAATTACCACCAGCCAGGGTGTTTGTTTCACCTGATTAGTTAGTGTCAAATCAAAGCATAGGCTCAATCCATAAGGTCTATGGCGATAGGTCTGAACGAGCCATGTAGGGAGGTGTAAACCGTCGAGCTGAGGTTCTCGGGAGTCTCAGATCCAATGGTTTGAGACTATTGTCGAAACCATTCTCAATAACGCAGATGTATTCACTCATTGTAATCTTTCAGAAGCATAAAGTCGTCATGTCTTTCAGTGTTATTGTCCGTTCTCCCGTACATTTTTGTTCATTAATAGTTTTTTTATGATTTTCTTTCTTTCCTCTGCCTTTGTATGCCCCAACTTGAACTGTGACACTTCTACGCAAAGTTCTACCTTGAAACTCAATCAGTCAGTCAGTCATTCCATAAATAAACAGAACTTGGAAGTAAATACCAATTTTCAAGTGATCAGCGACAACAATAGCAAAAATAAAACAAAAACAAACATTCATTACCTTAAAACCATATTTTTCGCGTCCAATACGACCTTCTTCAATTGTTTCCATACGTTCTGCTTTTGTTTGACGCGGACGTTTAACCAGTCGAGTAATTGCGCTCATACTGACTAAATTCCCGAGGCTGCCATCTTTATTTTGTACACCGATACCATTGTCATTTTCATCTTCATCAGAATCAATGACAAAGTATGAATCTGTTTGTTTATTGCGTACAGAACCATAGGATGCGAAACGTTTCTATAGAAACAGAAATTTCATAGGTTACATATAAAAGATACCATTAATGTATTATTGAATGATGATGATGCTGCTATTATGCAAGAAAGTGACACATGTAAATCTCTTCAAAATAATCACAGTACTGTGGAAACTATTCTGGAAACTAGATCAAGTGATGATAAATGTGTGCAGATATACTGATCAAGTACTAAGCTGTATTGTAAGATTTGAATATTGAATAAGAAACAAAGTCAAATAAAAAGGCATTATTCAAGTATTGGTTTGTAGGGATTTGGTTGATTGGTTATAGGATTTCATCATGAGCTAACATCAGTTAGACGACCATTGGAAAACCAGCACTGGGAGTACTGAACAGCTGTTTCTACGTCCCAGTTTGAGACTCTTCATCAGTACGCACTGACTGACAGGGTTCCAACCCAGGACCTTCTGGTTACAAGGCGAGCTCGTAGACCACTAAGCTACTGGGACCCAATCCTATGGCCAGCCCATGGATTCTGCCAATTCACGACATAACGCGACCGCTAACCAACGTCTTCAGCGAGTATTTGTCCTCATACCCGACCTGCTGCACCCTACTGGTCACGACTTTCCACTAGGACCCTAGGTAACTACCTACCTGAATAGGACCAGTGGCCAGTGAGCATCTCATTGATATTCAAGTATTGGTTTGTAGGAATTTGGTTAATTAATTTGACGTTAATTAAACTGAAAGTTTTTTGGCGACCTTCTTCCCTTGGGTTCAGACTGGTACATAGGGCTGCAACAACACATCTCCACTTTGTCCTGCTCTCTATGATCCTCTTTAGCTGGCCCCACAATTGCCCATAGTCTCTCAACTCCTCCTCCTCTTCACACGATCTCCTACATGTCATACTTTGATACCCAACTCATCGTTCCACATTCAGGTCCCACTTAACAGTCTGGAGAGCTATATCACCACCCCACAGTCTCCTCAGAATGTGTGTAATCTATCTCCCATTACTTCGGAATATTTGTTGAACAACAGGTTATTGATTGGCTCGTTCCCAGAGTTTCTTGTTGCTAATTCTTTCTGACCGGCCATCTAATCTTCACAATGGAGCCAAGGAAAGCAGCTGATGATAGAAATCTGCAACTAGCTGGAAATGCTCCTGGTGGCGCGCACAGCGCAAGCTTCTGACCCATGTCGAGGAGCTGACTAACTTAACACTCACTGGTGGTGTTGGAAATCCTAATTTTGTTACTTCTGCAGTAGATTTTCAAACTGATTTCAGAGTGATGAAGTTCTCTGTCTCGCCTTTCTGATTCTAGTTTTGAGATGGTTTGATATCCGTGCTGTTGTCGCCTGTAGTGAAAACGATACTGCCTGGCAAAGCGAAGGAAGTGACCTCTTTCGAGTTTATTGCGTTGATAGTGACTGGTGCTTGTGGTTGTTGTTGTTGTCAGTTGTTGGATATCTTCATCACCTCCGTCTATACAGTAGAACAAAAGGATCGGTTCTCCAAGTTAAGACAACACAACGGGTCGGTTTCAGTCACTACAAAGTATGTGACTTGCTTGATGCCATATTTGGCAATCAAGAAACCAAGCATTGCTGTATAACGCTATATATACTACTACCGATTGACTGACGCCAAACGGCTGTCAGGGTTTTTAGATCATTTCGATGATCTGACTAACAAGCACCACTACTATTTCATGTGACCGGTGACCAACTACTGAATACATCGTCGTACACTTATGATTTCATTCTTGATTGCCACTTACATTCTCAAGTAGATCATATATTGTGATTTGAATAACTGTGGTTTCCAAAGGAAACTCTGATGAAACTTCATCTCGAACCATATGGACTTCAAATAACGAATTAATTTGCACACTACGAATTCTGTCCAACGTATTACACCAGTTCACCCTTAAGTAGCCAGCTCAAATTCGACTGATTTCAACTGACTCAGCTCTTTGAGTTGAGTTAAAGTTTGTACACCACTGGATGAGCTCAGCCCTGAACAATCGAAACAGCTGTTCGGCGTTCAAATCGCTTTAGTCTGGCTAGCAAACATTACTGGCCGACGTAATATGTTCATTATTTACTTTATTCCTTTACGTTTCGAGTGGGACGTAGGGCTTCAAGCTAAAGCTTTGGAGTTTCCGTAACAGTGACTAGCCTCACACCCAACCTTCCTTCTTTACCGACCGGCCTACTGAGGTCTAGGTATTCATCGCCCGGCAATGGAACCTCGGGCTACATGTGGCGTAGTTGGTGAGCATTCGACCTGCTGAACCCCTGACGCCTCATTACTGTACCATAAAGCAAATAAGTTATTGATATTTAACAGCGGCTTATTTATTCATCCATATACCTACCTGCTTTGTCTGTTGATATTTTCGCATTGCTTCAAACTCTTCTTGTGTAAATACTCTTGAAGAGGCTATCTCTAAAGCTTCAGCTTTTAAAACACTAGGATCAATATTTGGCTTCTTCTTCTTCGATTGACTTTCATCACCATCATTGCCTTCCACCACAGCATCAGCAGAGTTTTCTTCCTCGTTCTCCTCTTCTGAGGAATGCGATAAATCAACCCATTCACCAGATGACTCGCCATCTTCTGAGTCTTCATCATCGTCATCAGCATCTGAACACGATTCCCATGACATATCACCTTAATCATAGATGGGAAAGATAACAAGGAAATTAACCCACAATATTTTTGAATCACACTTGTACACTACTTATAAGTAGCGTGAATAATATTATCGAAAAAGACAGCGCTAGGATATGGGTGAGGATAAAAGGCTATCGTGAGGTATTTTCGCGAATAGTATAGCGAATGCTACAACGCATATTCCAGCTGTGCACAGAAGTCAATAAAATACTTTTAAAAAACAGGCAATTATGAAATCTGACATAATTACAGCATTTCTCTAAACACGTAATACGAAAGCACACACATAAGACAACTGTTCGAGGAAATACAAACCGTAATTGACCACATCAGTTCAACCTATTCTGGGATATTGAAACAGAAGCGCCATATATAATCACTCAAAGGACATTAAATTTCACAAGGAAAACAGATAGATTCAAACAATAATAATACCTTCCTTAGTACATTCTTCTGAATTTTCAATACATTTAGATTCTTCAGAAGGTTGATGATTCTTCTTTTTGCCAAGTTTTTCTGCAGCTAAGACAATAACTTCAGCTCCAGGTACTGTAGCTGGTGTCACATACTGTCCATAGTTAATTGCCACATCATTGGGGTAATCATGAGTTAAGACATCGACTTGTGATTCTGTTAGACGTCCGCATTCTTTACGCGGTAACAGTTGAGGGTTTATCTGAAACAGTAGAAGCAAAAATGATGATATAATTAGAATATTACTCATTATTATTAGTAGTAGTAGTAGCAGATTGTGACACAAAAAGGTTATGTAAAAATACATTTCAGCAGAATTGTATCAGAAAAATGTTAATTTTATACTTTTCTCACTATACGACATGATAGATATGCAACAGTACTCGACGACACACAGATACAAAGAAATAGTGGATGACAAATAAAAATTATATGGAGGATTTCATCATGAGCTGACATCAGTTAGAGAACCACTGGAAAACCTGGGAGTACTGGACAGCTGCTGTTTCGTCCTAGTTTGGGACTCTTCAGCAGTACGTACTCATCGGGGTTCGAACCCAGGACCTTCTGGTCACAAGGCGAGCTCGTAGATCATTGAGCCACTGGGACCCGATCCAATGGTCCTTGAATTCTAACTTCTGCCAATTCACGACATAGCGCGACCATTTCGCAATGTTTTCTTAGATGAGTTACTGTCACGTCTTCAACCTGTTGTACCCTACTGGTCACGGCTTCCCACTAGAACCCCAGGTTAACTGCCTGAATAGGGCCAGTCGCTGATGAGCATCAGATTAATTTTCAAGTATTGGTTTTGTAGGGATTTCTGTTTGATTGGTTGGAGGATTTCATCATGAGCTGACATCAGTTAGAGAACCATTGGAAAACCTGGAAGTACTGGGCAGCTGTTTCGTCCTAGTTTGGGACCCTTCATCAGTGCGCACCCGCCAGGGTTTTCCAATGGTTCTCTAACTGATGTCATCTCATGATGAAATCCTTCAACCAATAGTATATATGGCAATTACATATTAATATAGCGAAAATATTCATTCAGACGTCTACAGAACACCAAATAATTGGGCAAAGAATATCCTTTTCGAAAATTTCCTCTTCTGGCTCTGCAATGATATGTATATATATATATATATATATGTTTATATACATAGAAAATTCTAGAATAGTAGTCAGTAACAATATTAGTGTTGTTTAAATAATATCAATTGGTAAAGTAAGATCAATGGAATTACAGTTCATTAAAGATAATTAAATTATTATAATAATAAAGATACAATAGCGGATAGAATATCAACTAAAATTAGGGAAATTTTCACAAAAATTGAGGATCATTCGAACCTAGACTGCCAAGGTAAAGACAATGTCTTGAGCAACTAACTTCTGTTGGACGCATAAATTAAGCTTCTTAATATGGATCCCAACAGCCAGCCTCAGCAATAATTAGTAGTCGAACTCTTAAGGTGAAATTGAGAGTTGTTGGTATGCGGTAAATAATCCTGAAAGCATGGTTAACATCAATCTTGTGTTCTGTATCTACAAGATGAGATAGAATAACGCTGTGAATAGATTTTGTTAGTTCTTTACTTAACCACTCAGGGTTAACCACACACATATTAGATCGTTCATCACACACTACTACAGTGCTACTACTTACTATAGCTCTGTAGCGTGGGCCACTGATAAGATAAGTGGCCAAAATTGAAATTAACATTTTAAGTCAGCGGCTGCAACAGAGGTAGAAGTGTTTACCCCTCAAACGTAGATCTAGTTTACTTTGTGGAAATGAAATAATCTTATTGGACAACTTCTTATCTTACTGTTTAACCATCGGGCCAATAACCAACCAATCAGAACAGTTTATTGTCCATTGACCCAGCATGACTTTTAATGTGGTGAAAAATGTATAAATATGAGGTGCCTTTCAGTAATAAAAAAAGTTCGTTACCAATTTTCTGATCTTCTGATGTAATATTTCTACACATAGTTAGACATAACTGGCATATTCATACCTCAAAGAGTGAACGTCACTCATATAAATGAGAATTCCAAACAAAAGATCATTTGAACAAAACAAGAACAAGTTTGTGCAGAATAAAGTGGTACTATCTTTTATTTCGTTACCTTCTCATCAGCTGCTTACAGGGCAAAGACATTATTAAGTATATCTACAAAAACAATTTTAACATACTTGCACACAGTTCATTTTAAACAAAAATCAATCGATATACATATATATATATATATATATATATATGTAATATTAAACACTATTCCGAACAATAATAATCATACACAATGGAAACTTTTCAGCATTTCGCATTCAGATGAAAGAGAGATAAAAAATATCCAGTTACCAGGGCAAAGAAAGACTGATAACCGCTTCTTTCTGGACACATAAATCAGGTTTCAGGCGCTTGATGGAAATGGCTTCAGCAAACTTGAGGAGAATTGAACTTTTTTGCCTATTGATAGTTTTGAACGACTTTTCGACGTCCAACTCATGACCCGTGTCGAGATGCCTGGCGATGGCACTGTTTAAAGCATTTGTTCCCTTTAGACGTAAACTTTTTAGTACATGTTCAGAAAATCGTAGACATACCCTTCTTTCTGTTCTTCCAATGTAACTGCTCCCACAGATATGTGTAAATTTGTATATACAGTTGGAGTTAACATGAGAAGGATATCTATCGATTTTCGATTGCATCAGAGAGCAATTTGTTCGATAGACGGGAACGAGCTTAGCTGCAGGACAGGCTATGGCTAGTGATGTGCTCAGCCTTCTGTTGATCATCGCTGAAATGTTTTCACCTTTATAATCAAGCTGAAAGTAGGTTGGCTTTTTTTACTGTGATTTGTTTTACATTTGTGACTTCAGATCTTCCATACTTGTTGATGCACCTTTGAGGGTACCCATTGCTCTTCAATATCTTTTCAATAAACTCAAATTCTTCTTCTAATTTTTCTATAGGGCATATTCTCCTCGCTCTAAAGTACAGAGTCTTTACTAATCCGCGTTTAAAGCTATTTGGAGAAAAGCTATTAAAATGTAAGTATTGTCCTTTCCATGTAGGCTTTCGATTTGACTTTTGAAGACAACCTTTTTTCAAGGCGTTCCATGACAATATCGAGGAAGTGAAACTTTCCGTCACTTTCATGTTCCATAGTAAACTCAATATAGGTGTGTGCATCATTGAATAATCTGAGTAAGTGTGAAGCATGACTTTCACTGTTGCACACTATAAATGTGTCATCAACATATCGACAGCAGGAAGTTATTTCGTCGATTTCACGCTTCAACTTTTTTCTTTCAAGGTTGGACATGAATATATCTGCTAAAACAGGGCTAAGTGGACTGCCCATAGCTACACCATCTATTTGGCGGTAAAGAGTGTTGTCAAATTGGAAAGTTCTCAATTTAGAAAAGATCATTACAAACATTATTCAAAAGACCTAAAACACAGTGTAGCTCACTCCAGTCCTGAGAAGAATGGAAAAAAGAAGTACTTATTAACTGACTTCAAGGAAAATGGGATAACCCCACAATTTCACCAACAAAATGTCTAAATTCATATCAAACTACCTGAGAGAAACTATCCTCAAGAAACCACAAGAAAATTCATCCTACCCTTATATATATATATATATATATATATATATATATATATATATATATAGGGAATGTTTCTGAAACAACCGCTAGACTACTATAACCATTCGCAGTAAATAGAGAACAGAAAGCAACACAATCACTTCATTCACCTACTGTGCAGACCAAAAGATCCAGCTAGTAACAAGAGAAGATAAGACCAAATTCATCTACAAAATAAATTGCATGAACCATGGATAAACAATATATTGGTCAAAATGGTTGTCCCCTTCGACTACGAGTCCAAGAACATTAACTAGCCTCCAAAAGACACAACATATTTCCTTTCATATGAATATATGCCGACAACTGTGAACACTAATTTGATTGAGGAATGTAGACATTTTAAACAATGCGAACAACAATAATGCCAGAGAATCCCTAGAAGCCTAATAGCCAGATTATTAATCAGCTATTAACAGACATATTATTATAGATCCAATTTATCAGCCAATAAGAAGTAAGCCATTTGTTAAGAGTCACATTCGAAACCGATAAGAACGATCGATTCCAGTCAAATTAGACAAATTCACAACCCGGTATCACTCCGTCATAACAGCTTGTCATGAGATGCAATCACATCATTCAAGTTCACTCCATATTGAATATTGCAGTGAAGATGTCTCAAACAAAAATGAAAGCAAGCGATTCGCTCGCGGCAAATGTAAGATATTGCAACAGGACTAAACCACGTTGACTCCTAACTTAAAGATAGGGAATGGAGTGGTACAGTGTATTGACCACTTCATTTATTTTGGAAGCCAGTACCAACGAGTTGATCGCTAACGAAATCTCAGCACGGATACAGAAGCCTTATTTCGCCTACGCCACTTTACGCCATCAGGGACGTAGATGAGATAACCGGCTATCGACCAAAGGGTGTGTATATTGCTCAACAGTTTACTCCGTCCGCCTTTATGGCTGTGAGTGAGATATGGCCACTGAAAGTGGAAGACATGAGGAGTCTGGCTATCTGAGTTTGATGGTAGGTGTCTGCACTCTATTTATTAATATTTAATTTTCAAGTAGTGGTTTTGTGTAGGGATTTTGTTTGATTGATTGGAGGATTCCATCATGAGCTGACACCAGTTAGAGAACCATTGAAAACCAGCTACAAGTAGTGGACAGCTGTTTCGTCCTAATTTTGGACTCTCTCGTTGATTTCTTATTCATATTACAGTACCTAAAGGCTTCGTACTATCTTCATCTTCATATGAGACTGTTATATTACGTTCACGGACTCCCATGGAAAATTAGTCGACTAGTAATGCCCAGAACAAAGAAACTAATAAACATTTGGCCCTGCAAAGTGATATTAGAGAACCAAACTCATTAATGGCGGGTGGTGAAAATTAAATAAGGGTAGGGGTAGAGAATAATACAGTTGAAAACTAGGTAAGTTAATCGGGTGACGTAATAGTTGACTGGAAATTGGACGTGGGTCGAGTTAGCTACATTGTTAATGAGGGTAGAGATTACAAAAGGGTGGGGTAGAGAATAATACAAATGAAGATGTGAAATAATAAAATGCAAAAGACAAAATA